AAAATGCCGTGTGCATTTAGATGGATTAAATGGAAAGGCAAACATACCCAAACGTAGAAAAGATAAGACACGGAATGGAATCTGAAAAAACAGATCATGTTTATTATATATAAACACACAGTTCAAACTCTACAGGGTAAAACCAAGAACAAAGTTAAGAGACACATAAGAGAAGATGAAATCAAAGATTAATATGCAAACATATCAGCAATGAACAAGTAATTGCAATACTATCTCAAATATTATTCTACTAACCTGGCAAAGACAGTTAAAAATACTTGCAAAACCAGCATGGTTACAACCATAACAACACCTATCAGAAAGCGCTCCCACCACACACCTTCATCCTTGCACTACAGCATGCAGCCTACCAGACATAGGAGTTGCTAGGGTATTTGTCACCAGGATAGGGCCTCAGGGGCTCCAGTTCCCTGTTACAGAAACAGAAATGGTCTTACCAGATCTGCTAGACACCTGGATTAAATTGGTTTCTCAGACTGCCCAAATATGAGTCACAGTGCTCAGGACCATGAGAGTGTGTTGGTGTGAGACTGCAGAAAATCTTGGCTCACCCCACCATGCTGAGTGCAACCCAGCATCATACATGTGTATAACGCAGATGTTATAAAATCTTCAGTTCTGATTGCACTGGGTTCCCTGCAAGCACACGTGTCTCATCTCAGGAAAAGAGACAAAGCTGACCTTTAGTGGAAGCCTGTTTGGCAGGCGGCTTCAATACCTGCCTGGGGAATCCTTATTAAAATGGACCGTTTTCATGCAGCACTTCATTTAATGAAGACATTCTACCCCATGGAGGAGACTTGCTCATAAAGACTCTGTCTGAAGGACAATCAGGGAAAGGTCTGATGACGATGCATTGCTGGTGATGAAACAAGCTTTTTATTACCACAGTTCCAGATGTTCCTACAGACCATCTCTTGCTAGCCAGTGCAGAAGTGTGTTGGCAGCACATTCCTACAAGCACGGATGATGCCCTCTTGCTCAGACATCTATATACGCCAATCACGGCTTTTAACGTTGATTCAAAAACCTGGTTTACCTTTATGTTTGTGTTGAATGAGCAACCATGACAACTGGAAACAGAAACATATGCGAAAGAGAAGTTTCTAACATGAGAACACACTGCCCCAAGGCTATCCTTGCATAACATTTTTTTCTAGCCAGAGTCTACACCCTTTAGCCCTTCAATTAACACAGTTAGTCACTGCATTCGCTGCGTGCCACTATCTGCTCATAGCTGAACATACAAATCTGGCACATAAGAGATGGCTCTCAGAAGAGCAATGAAGGAAAATCCAGGCTCCTGGGTATTTGGTATGTCTCTAATTCTGGCCGCTGTCATGCCAGGCACTTAGCGCGGATGATGTGCCATGCTCTGAATCCCCACCATCTGCTGCTCGTTAGCTGACAAAGGCAGCACATGCCACCTCCCCACTAGCTGCTGCTCATTACTGACAACAGCCATTCTGTGTTCACAATGTTCTCTCTGTAATAATCTAATACGAAGATGTACAAAGAGCAAAGGAAAAAGGAAACAGAGATGACAGAGTAGATTATAAGCTTAACTAAGAACATTAGCGCACTCTTAAATCTCAAGAAGTGAATCCTTCCAACAGCAAGATGCGGTTCTTGGTCCCAAAGGAATAGGTCAACAGGTAGGTATAAAGGTCAGCACTAAAGATAATGCATTTCCCTCAAAATGTTTTGAAACATGCAAGCACCCATTTCTAGGCTCCTTCCATTTAGGTTCTCTATTTTGTTACATTTTGGCTCTTCCATATCAGACAACAGTAAGAACTGAGTGGCTCACAGCATGCAGCTCCCAACCTGACCAGCGCAAGCACTAACCCCAGGTATATATAATGCCTGGTGGTAAGCAACCAGTGCAGGATTTAGGATTTATGCAATCAATATCTATAAGCTCCCTATGAAAGTCCTGCTGGTAAAGATTCTGCATTTGTCAAGAAGAGTTTGCTTCCATTATAAATCATCTACACGGCTAAAAAGCAGTAGTAGTAGTAACACTTGAAAAAAACGTGCATGACAGATACTGGACTACACAAGCTGATGAGCAACCCAACAGATGAGAACCAGAAGAGAAGGGGGGCGATGAACTATAAAAGAGTTCTCCGCTGGTAGATACACTGATGATGGCAGATTACTCAAACTATAGACAACTGGAAGTACTCACAAAACATTCACATTGCTATGGTCAATTAATTCTTTTTCAAGCTCAATAAGTGGCTTAGAGGAAAAACAAAAGAAAGATTCTGCTTCAAGTAGTAGTCCTTCTTTACAACAATGTGGAGTCACCGTCTCAGCTTATTCTCTCCCTCCTATGCCTTTCCTTACCCCTCCTCCCCAGATAAAACCAGATAAAATTTTTCAGTCTTCACATCACCATGACAGAAGGCAAGAGTATGAGAAATGTTCTGTGCAATAACAGCATACAGCCAACCAGTGTGGGAAATGTTAAACTGATCACAGGTCAGAGCATAGAGAAAGCACAGAAGATGACAGACAGTATGGATTCTGGCAAGTGTGGGAGACGGAGGGGAGATGGAGAGAAAGCCCACAGGCAAAGGGACATGGTTAAAAACAATGCTCCTGCAAAGCAGGAGACAAAAAAGGGACAAAAGGAAGAGAGGGAAGAGACAAGACATGAATGGACAACTTGCAGGTAATTCTGTTTTGCATCTTATTTCTTCCTCACACCCAGACTATCACTTTGCCACTCACAGGCCAGAAAAAAATGAGAACCAGACCACAAGTTTAAAGTTCTCCTGTTTGAAGGGGGACAGACAGGATGAGATCCTACAGCAATGGAATTGATAAAATATTGCTGTACATCCACATTCAACTATAAGACAAACCAAAAGAGAAAGACTTTCCACATAACCACACACACGTGCACGAAACTGCCTCAGTGAGCATGCCAAAATACAGCATACTCGTCTTTGCAACAATACCAATCTACACTACCAAATGAATCCTGTAACCAAGCTCCTGTTCACACACAAACACTTCTTAGCAAGTCTAACACCTTTCAGTGTGAAATAGTTACTCGATGAGGAATCACAGGCAAAGCAACTTAAGAGTACAGCTGAGAGTAGAACACACTGGGAACTCAGCCATCTCATGCTGCTAATGCAACTCCTATGGCTTTGTCTCCACTTTGCTCAGCTACTGCAAAGCAAAATCACAGCAAAAAACAAAGGACTAATTTTGCTGCAAGGTAAGTTTTAGAAAGTAGAGCCTTTAGATAGAAGAAAGGTAACAAAGCCTAGCCTAAAATGATTAAAAAAAAAGTTTTATACCTATACGGCTGCTTTTCAATGCCTTATCTCTGAGCTAGGAACAAATCTAACAGATTTGGGCTGTATAAGCCCATCCAACTTCTGATTACTTTATGATGGAAAAGACTGGTTGGTAACACTATAGATTTGGAGACTCAAATGAGCACTATCTGCATTCTGTTTTGGCTTATCTGACCTGTCAACAGCAGGCTAGCATAGGATAGCACTGCTCTCCCTCCAAGTCTCTTTTCTGTGCTAATTTTCCATTTGTGAGGGTCATCAGATAGCAGATAGATGTATAGCAAGAGGAAAGAAGAGTCTAATTATCTCCATCGACCTGTGTAGGAACAAAAGGATGCTCATCCAGAAAGCTGGCTAAAAGTATTTAAATATAAAACCCGACAAAGGACAATTCTGCAGAAACTTAAAATTCATGGTTGCAGCATAGCCTAGATCAGTGAGGTTTATTTCAGTCTGTCGTGACAAGAACAGCTCTTATGAACTGTCATTTTACAGCTATTTATATTTTATTGTCAGTTACTATGTTTATTACTGACTGTAATTCAACTGATTTTGGTAAGGAAATTTTTGAACAGAGTCACAAAGCATATTTTCCTGTCACTGATTCTTGGATAAATACCCACTACAGCCTTCATTAATAAAATCTTCATTAAGGTTAATGGAAATCTTCACAAAAATCATCTAATTGTATCAGGTGAAACACAATTTCTGCAAGGCAGATGATAACAACACTCTTAGAGACAGAAAAGCTCCTGGTTTGCATCCTGTAAATACCAAGAAGTGCCATCATTCAGCTTGTTTTAAGAAGTAGAAACAGCACACCCAAAGTCATGCCAGCAGTCTATTCAGGAGCCAAGTAATAAGGAACTTGAGTCACACAGCTGTTGTCATCAGGAACATCTCACTGAAAGGTACAGGTTGAGCTTTGGATATTTTTATTCTTGCCAAAGCTCCCACCGATATAAATTCTGCTAGGGTTAAAACAGATATGCATGACAAAGATCAATCCTAATAACAGACCCATTCTTTCCTAAGATGTTAACATTTAAGTAAAAAAAAAAACCAGTTAAATTAACCTGTCTTCAATGTTGTTACACGAGCTTGATGCCTTATAAGGACTGTAAAACATTAGATATTTCACAGAGATACTTTTAATGCTTTAGAAAGTGAGCAAAGCTCACTGGCTTAAAGCAGAACTATATATGGAGATTTCCACAGCACAGTTATTAAAGCCCCCTTACTTAAAACGGATGGGTAATTGGGGTTAAAGTAGAGGCAATCAAGTTAAAAAAGCAAGAGCATTTAACAACACATGGTATTTCTATTCAGGTAATTTGAAAGAAACTTTTCTTTTTTCCTTTTGCTCCATAAGGAAAGTTAATGATATCTTGGAAGCATCCTGGGAAAGGTAAGCTTCCTATAAATTCAGTTTAAGTGTAATGAAAACCTCTGTAAAGCATACACGTAAAGAAACTATGTTGGATACCAAAGAACCTTAAAGACCTGAAATAATAAAGCCTGTGCATTTTTTTCTAACAAGATCTAAATTAAACTGGCATCAGTTGTTACTTCCCTAACACACACTACGGAACACACCAGTAACACTACTTAGCCAAGCCTTGTGATATAAAGCATGTTAAGGTCACAGCAATGGTCACTTACGGCATTCCTTCTCATCACTGTCATCAAAGCAGTCTGGCAGCCCATCACACTGCCAGGACCCTGGGATACAGCGTCCATTACTGCACATGAAGTTTCCAGGAATGTTGCATTCATTTGTGAAGTTATTCCCAGGCAACAGTTGGCTGTCTGCGACAAATGAAAGAGAGGTAAGTTTACGGAGGATTTTAACAAAGGCAACAAAAGCAGTCACTGAGCAAGCTGTTTCAGTGTTTGAATGGAGATGAAACATGGATCTTGATCCTGGTTATTTTGTCATTATCCTATCAGCATCCTGAGCATGGTACTTTGGTAGCACTTTCTTTTTCCTAAATTACATTTTACTTGTTCTTCATTCTCACACTCCATTTTGCAGATTTCCCTCCTGCTATTTTCTTTCTAGGAACGTACATGCAGCCTTCTATGTATACTCAAGTCAAAGCAAAATTTGTTTAAAAAAAATAAAAAGCTCTTCTACATATGGTCAGTCTAAAGAAAAATAAAACAGATGAGGCCACACGAACTCAGCCCTATAGTCCCTTGCTTTTGTCAGATTAGTACTTAAATGGCAGAATACTTTGTTGTAGCTGTTGCTACCCAAGGGCTATGCACTAGGTAATACACTGTGTAATTCATGATAGGTTTTCAATTAAGTTTTAAACATAGCGCTGCTGATCAAAGTTAGAATTGAGCTTCTTAGTGTTAATACAGTCCCCTGACATACATCTGTCCACAGGCAAGTAAGGCATTTGGCCAACTGGTGGGGAGTCAGTAGCAGGATACTGGAGATAACAGAACAGTGAAAGAGAGAAATCTAGAGATTTGCCTTCAAGGTTAAACACAGTTCTGATCAGTCATTTTAATCTACTGTTTTTCTCACTACGTGCATTTTTTCTGGAATGCAGATATCACAGAAACACAAACTTCAATGAAGGAAGACAATGACAGTGGTTTTAATAAGCACCAAAATGGCATCACCTGTTGCTAAGAGGAGGGAAAGCTACAAGACAAGGCAGAGAATGGGAGAACTTGATCAAGCAAAAAATCAGAAATACAAACCTTTCCCAGGTAAGGTAGGGTTGTCACAAAAATATGTCCCCCTCCCCCCCAGCCAGCCTACCTACCTTCATTGTTTAAAACCAGAAAGAACAAATTAAGCTGACACAAAGCTTAACCATTTACTTCTCATTTAACTATTTTGAGGATAACCACATTACTTTTGGAACTCAAGGGGAGTGGCAGAGCTGCAGTTCCCTCCACTGCCCACCCTACACCAGCTTGCTTCCTATTGCTCTTGGAGTCCAACTCCTTCCTCTCCCCAGGAAAGCCTGAACACCAAAGGCAAGGAAAACACCACTAACGCAGCATGGTGAGTGCCCCACTCTTCAGTCCTGCACAGGGCACAGAGCAGATCACAACTACCAGGATCAGCAGTTTAGGGAAGACCCCTTCCTAGCTCATTCCTGCACTCCCAGGGAGGAATTTGCTTTGTACGGGCATCTTTGGAGAACTCATCTGCCAAAATAACAAGCTTTATAGTATGATTAGAGCATGAGGCTTTCTATAAACTCTTGAATCAGCCAAATGATTCCCTTCCTTCCCCAGAGCGTTTCAAAATGCTCCATCCCTGACACAGGCAAAACTGCTAAGTTTCACATCACTATTTCAAAAGACACGATAGGAATGCTTCAGGGAGGTAGTTTCTTTAAGCCTATGTCTTCCCCAAACAATGTATTTCCTCCCAAATGTTATTTCTTGCAAATGGCTGATTCTCCTGGGGATGTTTCAAGAATCTGCCAGAACAGTGCAGATGCCCCAGTGGAAATCTGCCCTAAGCTGTTAAAAGACAAGGTAGCTTGGAAAAAACAAAAAGGTGGAAATAAGGTCTTTTGAGGCAGGTGGGCAATCCGAGCCAGAGGCCACACATCCAGAGCCACTCATAAGTCTCCTGCTTAAAGAAAGAGTGAAAGCCACCAAAAAGTATGCCCAGGCATGCAGCTGGAAATTAGATGTCTTTTAGCAGCTTCACTCAAACCTCAGTTTCATTCCCTGCATCACTCGAAAAGCAACAGCTTTCCTCTCCACACTGTTACAACCTACAGCACTCTGGAACAAGCTCAGCTCCAGCCCAGTCAGGCAGGGCCTTCACTGCTCCCAGCAGCTCCTGGAGAAACGCTATATCCAACTCTGCCTCATGCCCTAGACCCTAAATTTAAATCAGCAATGGTAACAGTTTGTCCTTGAATACTCCTACCATGAAACACTGAACAGATACTGCACTATCAATAACCACTGCCAGGCTACTGCTGCCTTACAGCCACCACTGTTAACTAAGTCCCGCAGTTCTGTGTTCAATCAGCAAGGGCTTTTTTGTTGTTTATGGTGTTTTTCCCCTTTCACCAGTAATGGAACACATTCAGATCAGCCTTTGTACCATTGATGTGTATCTGGTAAGTAACGACCAAACAAAAATCACCACACTCAAACAGCTACAGGGTGAAATATAGCAAGATATGACAGAGGGGAGATATCTGGGTATTCTTTGCAGTGTAAAGGTTCGGTCAATACAGCATATATCAAATTAGTTATAAAGCCTCTAAGAGCTTCAAAAGCAGAATATAACTCCCTTCTCTATCGTCCCCGCGATAAATAGCTTTCAGGTCAGTATGGTACCACTGCAAGACCTTCCTGATAAGTCATAACTTTTATTAGAATTTACAAGTTTTGAGATACTACAAAACTGAAATGTCCTAAGAATAAATTTCTGATATAAAACAGAGCTTTTCCAAGCTTGACAAGAGAATTGGAAATTACCAAGGCTTTTGCCCTCTCAGAATCTAAGCAACCAGGCAGTACATTTTGGCAGCAACATCAAAAAGATGCCAATCTCATGGCATCTCTCTCTGTTGCTTTGCACTACCTTCTTGTCTAACCTGATACTTATGCCTCTCAACCAACCCGCTCCACTTCCACACAGAAGCAGCAGTTACCCAAAATGAGAAATCCTGCTGTGAACACTTAAGTGTGACTTCTTCATGACTTGGGCAAGTTGCTAGATAAGAACCAACACCACATCCCACAGCTACCTGCTCCAAGCACAGAACTGTCTTCTCACACCAAGTATCATGATGTTCCTGAGAGAAAACAACTGGATGCATCTCAAGCACTTTAACACTTCCTTGTCAGATCTACTGATGTTATCTTGCCTTAGAAGCTTTAGCCGTGATGTCTACACTCCTTTAATGAAAAAATTTAGACCAAGCTATGTAATTTTGGAAATGTCTAGAGTTTCAAAAAGCAAAAAAACCACAAACAAGAAACTATCCCCCCTAAAAAGCGCTATCAAGTCTCTGTTACTTTTAACAACTTCTTTAAATAAATGCCATACTTCTATCCTATTAACTTGAAGCAACAATCCAGGAGCACGTAAAAATTTTATTTCTTACCCAGTAAGTTGTTTGTTTATAGGATTTCCTTTGTCATACAAATAAATTTATCCTCAATGTTCTTTTAAAGCAAGGATGTATTACTAACTGTTTCACCAAACAGGAAACAAAAGATAGAGGCAGATCAAGTTACTTGCAGACAGCCCTACACAAGCTTTGCTGCAGAATAGGAACACAGGAACTCTGACTCAATCCAGTTTTAAAGCAACAGATATTTCTCTTAAAACATGACCTTCATCAGCTGCTAGGAGAGTTGCATGTTACAGACAGCAATTTGAGAGTCACAGTCAACACATCTAGAAGCTTGTTTCATGCATTACTCCATGCCCAAAAAATCCACTGGTGGATAAAGAACTGTCAAAACAATGGCACATGTGGAACTGTTTTAAATTGCATTGCTCCTTTCGCTTCCCTCACTTTGCAGGTCTCTTCTAATGGATTTAAAATGATCGTCAAAGAAATCCTCTGTGCAATCATCATCTCCCAACCCTGCCCACTCAGCACACAGCCCATTGCATGACTCTGGGATTTGTGCACACACGAGGAGGAGCGCTGTTACAGACACACACAAGACAGACATGAAAAGGACCAAACCAGATCATCTTGTTCGGTTTTATAACAAGGTCCATAAAGATGTCAGGTTTTGTGTAGCCAACTTGCTGCACTGCCTGTTGGCAGGGGCAGAAATTCCTTCAATCTGGCAGAGTTGGCTTTCCAATAGCTGACATATTTACCCTGCAGCCTCTTTGACTAATTTTGAATTCAACCCAAATATGAGATACACGGATGTGTTCAGTTAAGTAAAGGAGGAAGGAAAGAAGAGGAAAGTAGTCCATTTTCACTGCAACACATTGCTCACTTTAAGCAGCAGACCATCTGGGTGAATTAAAAAAAAAAGAACTCATGTTTCACCGTGAAGGGGACCGAGTAAGGAAAATCAATCTGTTTTAGCAGCCACTTTCAAAAATGTTACCATTTAAATATTTAATATTCCCTGAAAAAGAATCAGAGAAAAATAAATAAAAGGACAAGTCATACTGAGCAAGCACTTTACACTGTATTAAGAAAGCAAGTCAAGGATATCTTTCATAAAACCATATTTTACCTGAAAGCACTCCAGGGAATTGTGCACATTACAGAACAGATCACTATTGATAACACAGCTGCCTCTACATCAGAAACTATAATCAGTAAGAACAGGCAGTCACCCTGGCCAAGAAGGTTTTGAGGAAGAAATACAAGACACTTATGTGTTCAACACCCTCATGAACAACGCCAGTAGCTTCAGCCTCTTGGCAAAAAGGATCTACCACTAAGGATGAACCACGAGCTCTTCACTGCCAAACTTTTGGCATGTATTTTGCAGGAATCATGGGATCTTCACTGGATACTTTCAATGGATCACTGCTTAAAGTTTTTCACATGTGAAGAGAATTATTTTGATCCAGGCTGGTACGTAGCTGTCAGGCTGAAGGGTTACTCATGATACCTTCCTGTCACATGATGTATGCATTACACTTCATACTTGAATTCATTTTTTCTTTCTGCTTAAACCCTTGCCAGGTTTGACTTAAGCATATCAGAAATCTGTTCTACGTCTACTGAAATCTGCAACATGTTGTGAAAACAAAAGGAGAGAGACTAGAGTAAGTCAGTAGCTGGAATTTGTAGTAAGATGGCATGAAAACGATATATTTTCAAT